GTGTTCAGTACTGGTTGGGTTCTCTTCTGGAAATCCCCTCCCTGTGCCGTATGCTCTTCCCCTCTTGACCCCTTTGGTGATCATCAAGTGGGCTGTTGTGGGAACCGGGACTTAATCCGCTGTCATGATTCCCTTCGTGATGTCCTCTTCTCAGCTGCCCAATCAGCTGCCCTTGCTCCTCAGAAGGAGATGCCCTCCTTGATCCCAGGGTCCTGTGCCTGGCCTGCCGATGTATTTCTCCCTCATTGGGATGGTGGTCGGCCAGCGGCTCTGGATGTCACAGTCATCTCCTCTCTTTAGGCGGCCACGGTGGCTGATTCTGCTGTTATTCAAGGTTCAGCTCTAGGGGTGGCTGAAGCACATAAACTATCTTTATGTATGCTGCCACTTGTCATCATGTTGGTGTCAATTTCTTCCCTCTGGCTGTTGAAGTCCTGGAGGTTGGAGCTCTTCAGCAGTCTCTATTATCCGCTCTATTGGTCGTCGGTTAGGCCAGCATATTGGTCGTAACCCTTCTGTTACCTGCTCCCATCTCTTCCAGCACCTCTCAGTCTCTTTAGGGAGAGGTAATGCTGCTATGTGGGTTTCTCGGCAGCCCTCACTCGCATCCCACATTGACGGTTCCCTTTAATGGATTCTTTGTTTTAGTTGTTTCCTTTTGTTGTTGTTGTTATTTGGGTGTTTTTTTTTTGTTTGTTTTTTTGTTTGCTTCTTGTATCTTTCTGTCACCATTTTAATAATAATAATAATAATAATAATAATAATAATAATTATTATTATTATTATTACTGTTACCAACAGTAGGTGGTTTTTGGGCGAGTTAGCTTTATCATCATCCTTACTGTCTGATGGCCTCTTTCTCTTATTTTATGCTACGTTCGGTGGTGAATTATGTTTTTGATTTTTTGCTTGTAGCTTGTCAATAGTTCCAGTAAGTGTACGATTTTTATTGCCACAATCTGTAGGAATGGGATATTGTGGGAGGTCTGGTCTGTACAACTGTCTCAACTTGTGTATTTCTTTTATGCTACAAGAGGAAACAAAAATTATTAATGATTTAGGGTTGAAACATGTCAAATGGACACCAGACAGTGTTCATACTTGTGATAAACCAATACAAGCCATTCCTGCACTATATACATTGTCAGACAGATCAATGAATGCATTATCTAGGGACAGTCCCTGACATTTGCGTATGGTAACTGCAAGAGCCAATATCAAAGGAAACTGGCTTCTATACACAAAGACAGTTTTCATTACCATAAATTTTCACGTGACATTTTCAATCTCACAAGGATTGGCTATTAAATAAATTTAACTGTTATGCGTGTTTCTGAAATTGCCTGGACTGTACATTGAATAGAATGTGGTCAACAGTGCGGAAACATTCCCCAATCAATATGCAAACACTGTATAATATCTCCCATATATCAACTCCAGTATCAAATCTTTAGAATAAAACCCCGTTAAATATAGGAAATGTACCAAGTGTTCCATTTACTAATCCCTATTTAACATTTACATTACAATACAACATTACCCCAGCCCCGACAGCCAATTTCAATATGGCTTCTAAATTACCATTAAAATATCTTTATTTAATTCTTTTAACTTTTGCTCGACCTTTTCTTCTAAATCATTGTCATTCTTTCTACATATGTTGCCAGTTTGATGAATTAAATTTGTGGCTTTTATTTTCACAGTTGGACTTGGTAAATTAGTTAGCATTGTTTCATTAAATTCTAAGCACATATCTACTTTTGGAAACAGACAAACAGGAGCATTACCATCCTGTTGTAATATTTTAAATTTTTTCTGAATGGGTATCAAAACTATTCTTTCATAAGTGTAGTGAGAGTCTGATTGTCTAGAAAGCCCGTCTCACTTTATCCAACATTTTTGAAAATTTCTGGTCAGTTTTTATCTTTTGTTTATTGTCAATTCGTTGTAGGTAACAGTATCACGCCATAGGTTTACTGCACCCATACCACCAAGTCTGTATTTCAGTGTTGTTGCTGTTACTTCGTGAAACACTGGCTCACCAAGAACTGGTGGCAATTGAAGGATGTCACCAACAAAAAGGACAT